TTGTGTTGTCCGGTGCCGGTCAAGGATCCATCCACAGATCAAATTTGAAGCCCCAAAACTCCATCAAATAGATTGAATCAGTTTCTGCTCAAAACACAACTTCGAATAAACTTTCCAACACCACAAAAATCAAGTCATTTAGAGATCTAGACGGTGAGATATGCCTAAAATACTGAAACTTGGTTGTAAGAGAATCACAGCATAGTTGTACTTTAGTAATTTGGATTTTTGACTATAAAAACGTGAGAACCAAACTTTGAAGTCTTATAAAAGTTGTGGAGCATTCTTTTGACTTCAAATTTAATCAAGAATCATCTTAATCCAACTTGTATAGCTCAAGTTATCACCAAAATACTGAAATATGTCATTCCTGCGAAACCTCTTTTTCTTGACTTTATCATCTTTCATTGTTTCTTCACACCACGTTTTTAGTCCATTTTCTCTCCAATTAAGTTTTTCACCTATTAGAACAATATTTAAGAAAAATTAAGTAGTTTATACTCAAAATAAAACTCAAATAATATGGTTAACTAGCAACTTATGCATGTAAATGTACTACAATGTACACCCTATCAAATTTCTCCACACTTAGCATGTTCTTGTCCTCAAGCACAAGAACAAAACCAATTAAATACAAACAATGGCTATATTCAAGGCTATCATTATTAGAACAATCATTCTAAATAAGTGTCAAGTCGCTACTTAAGAATCACATACTCATAGTTATTGCCACTTTTTGACGTGAAAGGTGACACTTTTAGGTGAAAATCGCCCGTTACTAGGTAACGACAACCAATGGGAGTGTACTTCAACTTAATAAATAAGCATATAAGCACAAATAAGAATATAAAAGCCTGCTTCATATCCCAGTAATATGGAGAATTAAGATTAATAAATGGGCTGAATTCACAAGAAAAATGACAGAAAATTATTTACAATGCCTAGAAAAATTAGCCATAAATTGAAAAGCTTTCAAACTATCAAATATTCACCAAAAAAATACTCTAAACCAACACCATTTAACACTTCATATATTCATACACACATTGCTTTAACAATATAATACTCGAAATACAAGCCATTGTCTATCAGGAAATCAACAATAAAAACAAAAATTTGAAAATTTTAACCAAAAATTTCACTTCACTCATTCACCTCTCCCTCGCACTTAAGACAACATTGTCCTCAATGCTGGAGATAAAATAAAGAAATAATAATATGAAAAGAGTTGAAAATGAAACTCCCCTAATAACAAATTGAGGGCCAAAGTTCAAGTGGGGGTAAGAGAAGTTACCGTTACCATCCAATAATCAAGTTCAGGAAGCCATCCAACCAACCTATAAAAAGACAAGAAAACACTACAAATAGGAGTTAAATACGCCACTGAATAACCCAAACTAGAAAACAATAAAATCCTAAAAAATAAACACCACCATTAATTCCAAAAACAAGGAATCAAGTTAGAAAGAAGTCGGGTTGCCTCCCAAGAAGTGCTAAATTTAACATCTTTAGCCGGACAAGACTAAATGGAGTCATGGAGGATGAAATGGCTTAGACTTTTGCACATCTTTTAATTTATGTGCCCGTAGTACTGCATAACTGTTCACATCAACATTGCGCTTCCGGACCGCCGAAGAAGAATACGAGCAATGATCATGCAAAGGCATAAATCCTATATCCTACTTTAAAACATATTTTTTACCATACAAATTGTTAGAAGTAGTAATATAGGAACAAGATTTCTCATATGAAAGATATTTTAAAGGTTCAAAAACATTAAATTCTTGCTTCTCCTTACCAACCCTCAAAGTCAATTTTCCTTCTAACAAGTCTATATTAGCTCCCCCTAACAGGATTTTTATATCAATGCAAGTTTAAATCCGATTTTATACCCGTTGACTGCAAGTATACAGGCCGAAATTGTAATGTAGGGTATGTATCGGGTCGATCCCATGAGGAGCAAATTATACAAGTACTAAGCCCTTATTTTTCTCTATTATTTAGACTTATAATAAATTTGAGCAAGAAAATTATAATGGTATAATCAATGCTAAATGCAAATGGAGAAATTTCGCTAAAGATTGAATCTAAGGATGTAGATTCCACTTATGGCATAAACAACACGAATGAATAGATTTACCTCTTGTTATTATTCTTGTTTAACCAAAGATTCATTTTCAATATTACCAAATCTCATTCTCATGATGAAATGGCCGAGAGCAAAATAGTTTTCCCTATTTTCATGGTGAAATACTACTACTACTCTGTTTTCTTTTATGAAATGTTAGAAAAATTCACTTAAGTGTATCTCTATTTTCATGAACATACAACTTAAGCTCTACTCATGTGTTTCCATTGTTACTATCAATTTTCATTGAACAATAACAACTATAAACATGCTATTGGTGATCAAACAATAACAAGTAATCACAACTGCACAAATAGACAAGTTAATACAAGATATAACAAGTGTAAATCACATTCAATTCATATTATTTAGCCATAAGTTTCATCTACTCCCTAGATAAAGAAAATTTGCTACTCATGAATGATCTAACAATCAAACTCACAAGTTTATTCATGCAAAATATCATAAAGTACAAGTACAAGAAAAATAAAAGAAAGCTTAGCCAATTGATGGTGAAGCCCTCTAATTTCTGCTATGTTCTTGTACAAGATGATTACAAGTGAAAACTCCAAATGTTTCTCCAATGACTTCCAACTAGAGAGAAACTAGTTACAAGAAAAAAAACTAGCTACGTATGGTTGTTTTTACCTCTCCCAATGTCTCTGCATAAAAACTGTTCAAGAGCATCCATTTTTCCAAGTCAAATTCCACCTTTTGATTCCCAAATCTCAACTTTGTTAGGATAGTCAATAACCAATGTTTTTGACTTGAAAATAAGCCATACTGTCTGCCCTTTTGTCTTCTGAAGCATGTGCACCGAATTTCCTCACCCCAAATAGCTGAAAAGTTGTGTGAAAAGTGAGAAAAAATGGTTGTGCCATTTGCAGAAGAGAGAGGCAGATCCGAGCCTCGGATCCAAGGGGTGAAAGTTAGATCCGAGACCTTTCTTTGATGGATCCGAACTCGGATCGTTTGTCCTCGTATACACTCCTCCAGAAGTACAGACGAGGGCTCGGATCGCCCTTGATTCACACGGATCCGAGCTCGGATCCGTGCTGATCTTTTTTTTTCAGTTTTTCATTTCTTTTCCTTTTTCTTCACTTTTGCTCCTAATTTCTTGTGTAGTTTATCCTCTGAACGATCCCTACATTTCCTTCATCTCGTGCATGAATTTCATACATCAATATCCTTCACAATTGCACAAAATTAACGCATTAATCCACTCATTTATCAAGTTTTGAACACTTAAACAATATTTAAGCAATTATCACCAAAAGAGTTCAAATATGACTTTAATTTTCTCAAAACGTACCAAAAGTTCATGCCAAACTTATACAAAATATACGTTAAATATTCACTTATCACCCCCCGTAGCTAAGAACCCTTTACCAAGGGTAATAGGTATAGAAATATCCTTTTCCATGTCAAGAACAAGAAAATTAGTAGGAAAATAAAATTTACCGACTTTAACCAATAAATCCTCTACAATGCCTATTGGATATCAAACTAAACAATTAGCCAGTTGTAGAGTCACTTGAATAGGTCCCAAATTGGCAAACTTTAATTTTCTAAAAAATGATAGAGGCATCAAATTAACACTAGATCTAAGGTCACACAAACATTTATCAATAAAAATATGTTCAAATTGACAAGGCACAGTAAAACTCCTGAGATCTTTCATCTTGATAGAAAGATGATTTTGTAGCACTACACTGCACTTCTCAATAAGAGACACCTCTACAAAGTCTTCTAACTTCTTTTATTAGACACTATCTCCTTTAAGAACTTTGCATAAGTAGGTATATTAGCAAGAACTTCAGAAAAAGGCATGTTCACTTGAAGTTTTTTGAGTATCTTTACAAACTTTTGATATTGCTCGTCAGTTGTCTTCTTCTTAAGCCATTGGGGAAAAGGGATGGGTGGCACATAAGCTTTCACCTCAAGCACCTTCATATGTTATTTATCTTCACCTTGAGTCTTTTCACCAAAACCATTCTCTGAATCTCTAATTCTTTCATTTTCAATAACAATTCCGCTCCTATCTTGCTTTTCACTTGGTTTAGTCTTGGGTTTAATGACAGGACCATCCAATACTTTGCCCGAACGAAGTATCACAGCCATAGTAGTTTCTTTGGGTTCACTCCAGTGCTACTAGGCAATTTTCTTGGTACCTTTTCAGTTACTGTCTTTACTAGCTGACCAACTTTCCTTTCAAGATTTTGAATGGAGACTTGCTCAAATTGAGCAAGTTTGTCGAATTGATCCATCCTTTGTTCCACTTTTTGTATGAAATGCAACACCATTTCTTCAAGGTTGGACTTTTTCTCCTGAGCAGGTTGAGGAGGATATTGAGAAGGTTACTGCAAATTTTGGAACCCAGGTGGTCCCATAGATATAACCGCTTGATCCTTTTTATGAAATGTTAGGGTGATTCCTCCACCCCTCATTGTACGTATTGGAGAACGGATAATTCCTTGGCTGTAACTTCTGCCCACCATATGCTCCAGTGAAATTAACATCTTCTACCATGATGGAAAGATCTCTATTATAGCAACCAGTAGTAGAATGCCTATACATGTGACAATAAGCACATGATTCCTGGGATTGAGTTACCCAATTTAAGAGCTGTTGCATCTGATGACTCAATTCAACAACCTGTGAACCCAAATCCCATGGCACATTCACTTCATGCACTCCTACTCTCTTACCCCGAATTATTTTTTGTTAAAAATTGCTAGCTAACAATTCATGGAGACTAACTAATTCTTCCGGGGTTTTGTCACCAATATACCATCCTGCTACAATATCCACCATATTCTGGGTTGTTAAGGTCAATCCATCATAGAAAAATTAAACTTGCAATGCCAATGAATATTGGTGATGAGGACATTGAGAAAGTAGTAGTTTAAAACGCTCCCATGCTTCATGTATTGGCTCTCCTTCCATTTGAGAAGATATGCAAATCCTATTCCTCAAATCGATGGTCTTCTGAGGTAAGTAGTACTCAGTCATAAAAACATTATAAACATCTTCCTATATGCTCAGAGATCCTTCAGGTAGATGAAATAACCAAGACTTTGCACGATTCTTGAGACAATAAGGGAATCACCTGATTCGTAAGTCATCCTCTGAAACCCCACTCAAAAGGAATGTTTGGACCACCGAATAAAATTCTCTTATGAAGAAGATCGGGTCTTCATTGGCTAAACCATGGAAAGCAGGCAACATGGTAAAGTGTACCATTTTGAGCTCATAATTTCTTGCTCCTTCACTTAGCCTGATGTAGTGAGGAGAAGCCGTGATCATAGGATGTTGAATATTCCCAAAACGAAGCCCTGCGGATGGCTGCACTACCGGCTGTTGATTATTGCCATTATTTCTATTCTCCTCAGCCATCTCTTCATCATCAGAAGTGCCCGACTTAGCTATCTCCAAAGTAATATGGAATCCTGGTGAAAATGGTTGCAAAGTTTGTTTTTGCAAGCGCGTTTGCTTCCTCAAATATTTTGTAGTTTTTTCACTTTTTGGGTCAAAATCCAAATCACCTTTTTGAGACCGGGTCATATACCAAGTACCTAAGCAAGAAAAATCAAAACTAAAAGTGAAGAACTAGAAGTAAAATAAGATAAAAAATAAAATGAAAATAACTAAAGTAAAAAAATTAAGTTCTGTCCCCAGCAACGATGTCAAAAACTTAATCGATGAATTCCTGCAAGTATACAGGGTCGATCGTAGTAATAATTTACCTGGAATATTCCAAGGTCGAACCCACAAGGACGAGTTAATTTTCTACTCTAATTATTCTAATAAAATAACAAAATTTAAATTCAAGAAATTGTGTTTTCTAACTAATCAACAAATGAATAATTAATTCAAATAAAGGAATGGTGAGAAAACAATAGATGCGAGTCTAAAATTTCAAGTTTTAATCCAGAATTTGAATCAATTCTCTAGTTAATTTCTTAACAAACTATGAACGCATCACACAATCGTATTCTAGATTATCTCTCGATATACCTAATGTGTGAGGACTCGCAAAAATTTACTTATTTAATCTCCTATTTCTAGCTTATTTAATTATTTATTTGGCCTTTTACACCGAATATTATTTTCTAAGCTCTTGAGATCTAATTACATGGAAATATAGTTTCATTATATTTTTAAAATGACTTGTTTCAAAAATTAATTTTCGGAAGCTCGTTTTGTAAAAATAATGAACACGTCTTTGGAAATCTTGATCGATTGAGAGTACAATAGTTTGAAATATTGGAGACATGTACAATGGACCTAAATTAGGCATTTTAATGTTTAAATACTCAAGTGATAGTTATTAGTACTATCGTTATAAGAATTTCTCGGAAGTTTCGCGTTATTGCGCTTAAATTGGAGATACGCGTTTTCACACGCGCAATTTAAATTGAGGAACTTTAGACCCTTATTTTGGGACAATTAAGAGTGAATAATATTTATATGAATATAAATGCATTAGAAGTTTAGTACACTAGTGAAACAAACGCGAGAGGAATCGAGTACAAAACGCGCGCGTGCGCGCACTTTTTGCGGTTGACTTTTGTGCACCCAATCCTTAGTCATTAAGCTTCCTTTGGAAGCCTCATTTCAGACCACACTCTCTCTCTTGCTCCCTCATTTGGCCGGCTAACAAAGGAGAAAAACAACTCAAATTCCATCCAAATTTCTTCACCAAATCTTCTCCATTTCACTTCAAATTTCAACCACTCTTAGCTAATTACTTGGAGATTACATCAAGCTAAGAAAGAGGGCTGCTATCCACGGTTTTCTTGAGCATCTAAGGGGCCGAAATTCTGTCCTAGTTCATCAAGAGAGGTAATGGACGATCAACTCCTTGAATCTTAGCTTACGGAAGCTCTATTACACGTATAAACTCTTGCATGCATGTGGGTGGTCTTGTTTATGGTGGATTTGTGTTGTGTGGGCTCTATGAACTCCCACTTTTGATGGAAGGACTGATTTAATGTTGGATGATGAAATTAATGGTGGTTTAGTGCTTATATTAGTAGATTAATGTTGTATTGTTGGTAGAAAATCAAAGGAGGTGCTTGGAGCAAAAGTGACCGTTTTACCCCTGCCTTGTCCGACCATTTTCGTGCCAGATTTTGAGATTCTAATGAATTGATTATGTTGTTTATCTATTATTGTAAGTGTGTACAAAATTTCAATGAAAAATAACATGATTTGGTTGGTCAAATGAGTTGATTTCCAAAGTTAGCAAAACTGGAAAATGAATCCCGTATTGCCCAGGCAGTCATTTTGTAACGGCCATAACTCTTTGTTCCGATGTCGAAATCAAGTGCCGTTTGCGGCATTGGAAACTAGACATTCCTAGCTTTCTATCGGTACCAATTTCACATTCTGGTTCCACTTGAGTGAGACACACCATTCGATTGAATATCACTGTCCTGTTTCATTGCTCTCCAGGAGACAGGACAGAAATTGCTACTTGATGCTCAAAAACGAGCTATTTGTGAATGGAATTTGAAAATGGTTTCTTCTGAGAAAATTCAGCTTTAGAAGAGAGCTTTCCAACGCCATCAACCACGCCCAATTCCAAATTGAATGGAGTGAGTTGTGGCCAAAGTTTGAAACTGCTACAGTGATAGAATTTTCCACTTGGACAGATTTGTAACTAACAATGATTTGGGACTTGTTGTTTTGGAAACTTTGATGTCCGACATCTACCAAACTTTAGATTAGATGTTCCTTGGACTTTGTTTCACAAATAAACCAGATTTGGGTTGGTTGCTTTGGACAAAATGTTTTAAAAGGAAAGAAGAGCTAGAAGACAGTTTTACCTTGGGAAATTTCCTGAACTTTGATGGTTTAGTTAACTACCTTCCCGTGTGAATTTTCAAATGAAATTTGATAGAAGAGTAATCCTCATATGGAGGTTTAATTGTACAAAATTTGGTAATATTCTAAGACCATTTTGATATGCAAATGATGTCACAAAATTCGCTCATCGAATCTGGAAAACTTTTCGTTTTCTCTTAGCCAAATGGTCAAATCTGATTTGGAGAGTTTTATTTCTAGAATTTGGATGTCAATGGTCTTTAAATTGCTAAGTGGATGTTTATGAACTCTTGGTTTCAATAATGGAGAGATTTGGAACTGATTTCATGGTACAAAAAGTTTGTAAACGAAAGAAAAGTGAGAAGGTAGTTTAGCCTTGAAACTCTTCATAAACTTTGGTTGTTTTAATGACTACCTTACCGTGAGAGTTTTTGTACGAAACTTAGTAGAAATGTTGTTCACACATGGAAGATTTAGTGTACCAAGTTTGATGTATTTCTAATGCCAACTTGATGACCAAATGATATTTCAAATCTAGTTTTAAACCTGGAAAATAGCCCAACAGTCTTAACTTTTTCAGCAACTTGGAGGTACTATATCTTGGTGCTCGAAACTCCGTTTCTCGTTCCGCTTGTTTTGTTATACTCTTGGATTGCAACACTGATTGATTTCCAAATTTCAAAGGTTAGTTCAAAACAAGTGAATTTTTCCGAATTTCCAAAGTTGGCCAAAAACCAACTTAAATCTGTCTTGGTAATTCAAGTTACCGATTTTGAGCCTAAATTTGAATGTCTTCCACTGGGAATCATTGAAAAGTGTCTTCTAAGAACTTTTAGTACTTTGAAAGAGGATTCCAACAGTACCAAGTTTTCCAATTTTGGACTTGTAGAGAATGAAATATGATTTTTCAAAAATTGCTTGTTAAATCTGGAATTTTCTAACTTTAAGGAAACTAAGGGTTTCGAACCCTCCATTTTCCTTCAATATCATTTGATCGTTTTACATTTGATTTCAAAGATGGAAATCAGATTTGTCTTGTATTTTAAAACCCACTTTTGAACCTCGAGTTACACGAACCCTTAGACTCGTCTCTGCGTTAATTTCTTAGATTGTACTAGTGTACAATTTTTCTCGATAATTAGAATGATTTTGAGTGGTAGTTGATTATTGTTTGCTCAGGCACTCGAGGGAATCTCCCAGAGGAACTCGGAGCGGACACCTAAGACGCTTGTTTAAGAACTACTCGCTTGTTTTGACTAGGTGAGTGTTCCATATAGGAATACGTAATCGAATAAGTCTAGGACACGCTTATGTCATGATTATTAAGTGTTAAGTGCTATATGTTAAGTATTTGCCACACTCATGCATATTTGAATAATGTATACTTGAATTACTCGACATGAAACACCTGAAGTATGTATATTTGAACTATTCGATATGAAACACTTGAAGAGTATATTTACGTGACTACTTGAACTATTCGATATGAAATGCTTAAAGAGCATACTTATGTGATTACTTGAAATACTAGATATGAAATGTTTGGAGAGCATATTTACATGATGTGTCTAAATGATTAATTATGCTATGACAGCATAAGTCGGTTGGAGTGAATCTCCTCGACTCTTACGTGGTGAAAGTGAAAAACGGCCAATGGCGGCCTATTGAAATGATATATGTCTACCAATTAACCGTAATTACTACCGTTAACCGTTTACCGTTTACCGTTAACCGTGTTTACTTACCGTTTTCTAATCTATTTGGTCACTTGCTTACTTGGTTATCTGCTTACGTGATCACCAACTTACTTGGTTATTTGACCACCTGATTACTTGATTATCATGAATCACATGTTATATGAAGTTGTCCATCATTATTAGGCGAGTGTGTACTTTACCTCACTCGACCTACTCAAATGATGAATTTTACCTTTTGTCGAATTACTTGGTTACCTGTGCATGTTGTAAGCTCTAAGCTGAACTTGGGCCCTGCCCTTGGTTACTGACCTACTCGAGCCAGGACTGGGCTCGGTCGGGTAGGTTGGAACCCTGAGCCACCGTTTCGGTATACTCGAGTATTACCACTGGAGGGATAAGGCGATGGCCAGACCGTACCGTGGGGATCAGAAGTCATAAGGTGCAGATGACCGA